TACATTTATTTATTTTTTCTTAGTTCTCGGCGGACACAACATCTTTGTTGGTATGTGGTGCTGCTGAGGATCGAACCCGGGCCGCACGCATGCTAGGCGAGCGCGCTACCGCTTGAGCCACATCCCCAGCCCCAACAGTGTTACTTTTGACATTCTTTTTTCCCTTGGTACTGGGGATTGAAACTAGGTGCTCTCTACTACTGAGATAAATCCCCAGTCCTTCATAAAATTTTATTTTGGAACAGGATATCACAAAATTTCCCAGGTTGGCCTGGAACTTGCCATTCTCCTACATCAGCTCCCCAAGTAGATGGGTGGGACAATGTGTGCCACCATGCCTGATGTGTGTGTGTGCATGTGTGTGTGTGTGTGTGTAGACACACACACATTCTTATACATGTAACATATATGTTAATTAAAGGGGCAAAGACTTGAGAAGATAGGAGAGAATGATTTAAGTCACAGGCAGAAGGGATAGCCTTTGATTGGAGGGTGAATTACTTCACTCTTTTTAAAAATTTTTTAATACTTTTATTTATTTGTTTATTTTTATGTATTTTGTGCTGAGAATCAAACCCAGCGTCTCACATGTGCTAGCCAAGCACTTACTGCTGAGCCACAACCACAGCCTCTACTTGTCTCTTAATATGAAGGACAGTAAGTTTAGATGCAGGTGTGATAGTTTCGTGATAGGAAGAGTCAAAGAAGATAAAACCAGGTCACTCCAGAGTTGAGGTTTTCTCAGGAAAACCTCATTGAGAAAAGTAAAAGAGACATGGACTTGAAGTATTTGCAGAAAGCAACTTAACCACTGAACCTGAATCTGAGCTGAATGGAGAAATGACTACGGAAGGAGACAGGGTTAAAGTGGAAACTTAACTGAATTTGAGCTCTGGATGGTGCTTGAAGTTTGATTCTAGGCAAGCACTCGAGCAAGTAAGCCAAAAAAAAAAAAAAAATACAATTGCAGATTGTATTTTGGTGGCTTACACCTGCAATCCCAGCTCCTTGGGAGGCTGAGGTGGAAGGACAATTAGAGCACAGAAATTTGAATCAAGCTATGCAACATAATGAGACCTCATCTCTTAAAACAAACAAACAAACAAACAAAAAAGGATAGAGTGTTTAATTTTTTTTTTTAGTTGTAGATGGACAATATATATCTTTATTTTTTATTTACTTTTATGTGGTGCTGAGGATGGAACCCAGGGCCTCACACGTGCAAGGCAAGTACTCTACCACTGTGTCACAACCGCAGCCTAAAGGTTTAAATTTTGATACTGGAGACTTTACTGTTTTAGAATCATGCAAATGCCCAGGATTTCAGCCACAGTCTCTCTTTCTTCATAGTTCAAATACAGTTGATTTAACACTGATCATTTTCACTTTCACTGCCTGTGGAAGTTGGGATCTCTCCCAAAATTTATTTATTTATTTACTCCCCCTCACCTTCTTCCCTTCTTTGTCTCTTACTTTTTGTGATCCTGGGGATCACATGTCCTCATACATGCTAGGCAACTGCTCTACCTCTGAGTCTTATCCCCAGCACCTTCCCAAGATTTCTGTAAGTTCACAGTGAGACGGGTTTTCATGATTATATGGGCCTCTGAGTTGCTCAATCTCACATCTTATTACTGTTCTAAAACATTCAACATAGGCCTGTAGGCCCTTTCTCTAATTTCAACAATAAATTTACTCCTTTAGTTTTCATGGGGAGAGAGTTACATGGTACTTGATCAAGACTGCTTCTATTTTATTTTTGTACCAGGGATTGAACCCATGGCCACTTAACCACTGAACCATATCCCCAGCCTTTCTTTTATATTTTATTTTAAGACAGGGTCTCACTAGGTTGCCTACAGCCTAACTTGCTGAGGCTGGCTTTGAACCTGCGATCCTCCTGCCTCAGCCTTTCCAGCCACTGGAATTATGGGTTTGTGCCACTGTACCTGGCTAAAGCCTTCATTCTAATGTTACCTTCCCTATTTTTCTCCTTCTTTTCCATGTCTTCTGTTGTGTAGACCATGTTCCCCAGTTTTTTCTTAAGCTTGAAGCTGGCTAACACCCTCAGGTTGAACCAGAAGCAATGGAAACAGGTACTTACCAACTTAAAGGACTTATTAAAATACAGTATTCTTCCCAACTAGAACATTTCACTTCCACAGAGGACTTTAATGCCATATATTAAAGCAGTAAATTGTTCTCATCTCCATCCAAATACAATGTGATCCAACTGAAATGGTTGTGTTGTTTTGAGAAGGGATCTGGCTATGTTGCTCTGCTGGATCTCCCAGCTCAGGAGATCCTTCTGCCTCAGCCTCCTGAGTAGCTGGGATTACAGGCATGTACCACCATGCTTGGCTCATCCAACTATAATTTGATGGAAAAGAAGGGTACTAAGAAAGCATTCCCACTGGGCATAGTGGCACACACCTGTGATCCCAGGAAGTCAGGAGGCTGAGGCAGGAGGATCACAAGGTCAAAGCCAGCCTCAGCAACTTGGTGAGGCCCTAAGCAACTTAGCAAGATGCTGTCTCAAAATTAAAAAAAAAAAAAGAAAGCAGTCAACTATGTAGCATAATAAGACCAGCACCGTTTGATTTCATGTCTCACTTTTTATTTTTTTTATTTTTTATTTTTTTTTTAGAGAGAGAATTTTTAATATTTATTTTTTAGTTCTCGGCAGACACAACATCTTT